AATAATAACAATAACCTTTTTGAAAACTGGAGTGTTACATTATGAATGTTATTCAAGTAGTTGTAAATGTATAATTCTAAGTAATTTAGTTCCACTACTAGTTTAAGATTCGTAAATGTGATGAGAAGGGGATTATTACATCCTTGATTGACTTTGAAAAATAATTTATCAAATTTGACGAATTACACCAAAGTTGGATAGTGATGGTTAACTATTAATATACTACGACCGAAAATGTGCTTTTAAACATATTGACAATGATATGGTTACACCAATAATATCCTAAATTAGGCATTGCATACCAAAATTCCAAACTATAAAGGAGATATTTGGTAGGCAAAATCTTTTGCTTGTTTAGTTAAATTGTGAGTCTTAATTTCTCATGCTTGGTAGCTATTTAAAAATAAAATATTTTCAAGAAATATATTTTTTTGAGAATTATTTTTATCCCACTTTTTCACAAAAACATTTTCATAGAAGTGAGAATCCAACTTTTCAAGTTAAGAAAAAAAATTATGTATATAAAAAAGACCACAATATCATTTTTTTTAAATTGAAATCTTAATTAATATATTTTTATCCATTATCACTTGAACAACAAAACCAAAATATATTAATTTATTAACTAGTTAAAATATAAATTAAATTAAATTAAATAATTAATTATACATATTACTTCACTTTTAATTATATTGTATTTTAAGAAAAAATTTGGTGTAATGTTTCATGTATAAAATTTTAATAAATTATTTTATATTGTATTTTTTATTACAAAGTATTTTATTGTTATTTTGGTAGAAAAATTATTTTTTTATCACTTTTCTCCTTAATTTAATAATAAGATTAAATAATTATATAATTTTCATAAGATATGATATTTATATTTATTTAAAAATTTTAAATTATAAAAATAGATTGTTAATTTCTTATTACAATTTTTAACTTCTAAATTTAACAAATTATTTAAACAAAATAACATTATATATGTTTTTTTATTATTATTTTTTAGCTTACCTATATTTTAATTTAATGGCTAATTTGATTATTAATTTAAATTTTTCTTTCTTATGATAAACTATGAAAGTTGTATTTTACACTTTGATTTATTGTAATTTTACATATAATTTAATTATATGTAAATTATTGATTTATTATTTTAATCTAAATTTGATATTTTTTTCATATGTTAAATTATGACACGGTTACATCCTATAAGTATAAGGAGAAAGAAATTCAGTTTTTGTAAATGATATTTTTATGAAAAAAATATTTATATAGTCAAGAAAATAATATTATAATCAAACGTAAAAATATTTATTTTTCTGAAAACTTATATTAATATTTTCATAAATTTTTATAAGTAATCAAAGGGATTTTAGTACTCTTAGGAATCATAATTTCCGGGATTTGTAATTCACATAAATCATGATTTCTAAAAATTACAAATCTCAAAAATCATGATTCTTGAGTGACTAAAATTCGTTTAGTTACTTATAAAAATTCTTGAAAATATAAAAATTCATTTAATATGTTTGATTGCAATAGTATATTTTTGGGTACATAAATATTTTTTACGAAAATATCATTTATTAAAATAATCTCTTTAGATATACTTATTTACTCAAATCTTATTATAGATATGACATCAAATTATTTTATAAGGTTGAGAACTTATAGTTGAAATTATTTAAATACATAATAAAACAAAGAAAAATGTTATCTTATAATTAAAAAGGATAAAAAAAATATTATTTCATTTCATTCAAAAAATAAAATAATTTTTTTTAATAAATACCATTAAACTATAGAAATAGTTTTTTAATAATATTATTAAATTGATAAGGTAAAAAAATAATAAGATACAAGAAAGAGAGAAAAATAAAGATATGGGAGGAGAAGAGAGAGGGAGAGGGTGAGAGAGAGCAGAGAGAGACAGTGTGAGTGAGAGAGACTACTAGAGAGAAAGAAAAATAGAATGAGAGAGATATTTTAAAAATATGAATCCCTATATATATTTTTTGTTTTAAAAAGGATAAAACTTTCTTCCTAATTCAATATAGTTAGATTCTCAATTTTATGAAAATATTTTTTGAAAAAGTTGAATAAAAATAGTTATTGAAAAATTATATCTCTTAATAATATTTTTTTAAATGACTATTAAATATGTAAAATCAAAATTTTTAATTTAAGATTTTCAACAAAATAAAAATATTTTACATACTAAACACCCCAATATCATTAGAATAAAATTTGAATTAAATTAAATTAATTATAAATTAATTTATAAAAGTTATTTTATATGACTTCTTTAAAAAAATTATAAAATAAATTTACATAAAAACTTATTCTATTATTATTCATGATTTTTATTTCAAAAGTATTTTAAAAAGTTATATTTTTTTTTTGTAAAGATAGGAAAGATTACAAAGATGGTCGCAATGAAGATTAAACGTAGGTCCTCATGCTTCTAACTATCCCTAACCCCTCTCCACCCAATCACTAGAACATGAATTATATGAAACAAGGTGTACATATTGGATTTTATTATTTTGGACTAGATTGGATTAAATAAGAGTAATTACTTCAATGAAATTGTTTTAGTTAATCATTAATTAATGTATTTTTTTGGAAATTACAAATTTAATGCCTCCTTAATTAAAGGCAGATTTTTTTTTTTTATCAACTAGTTATTTCTGCACTCTGTTGAAGAGTTTGTGGACTCCCTCCAGCCAAAAAGAACATTCATTATGTTATATATTTCTAATTAAAATTATCAAACTATTTTTCCCTACACAAATTAACAGCTATTTTAGTATTTAGAAATTGTGGAATAATTGATGTTCTCATCCTTTAATGTAATATTATTTTTTAAAGAAAAAACCTTTATTAATTATCTAATCATTACTATTAAAAGAGTAGAATTATCATAGTAAAAATGTATATAAAAAAATATATTTATCATTATTTCTGATCTATATTTAAAAACCTTAAAGTACAACACAAGAAGTACATATAAAACATGGAAGAATCTCAATTTACTATATCATCAATTTTTGAAGAGAAAAAATCGTAGAATAATTCATAAAAAATAAAGGGCTAAAAAATATATGGTAAAATATTGAAACATAAAAGTATTATTAGAAAGCATGTAGTCTTATAGTTATATGTGGGGGAATTAAGTAGATTCACATTCTCTCACCAACAGTAAAGGCTTTTCTAATTCGATTAAGCTCTCCGGTAACACCAACCACATCCATTCTTTCTTTTGGTGATTCCATAGAACAAGCAAGTCCAACCCTAAAAAGTGAAACTAAGCACTTCTCAACATTTGGATCAAGACTCCAATTGTTTCCTTCCAATATTGCAGCTTCATCAATTGGAATAAGTTGTGGGTCCAAAATCTGCAAAAGATTATCAAGAAAAGAAATTGCAACAAAGTTATGGAGATTTTGACCATCTTCAAACATTTCCTCTATAGGTCTTCTTCCAGTGAGCATTTCTAACATAAGAATCCCAAAGCTATACATGTCACCATAAGTTGATACCTCAGAGCCCACTCCATACTCTAAAATATATATCAAAATTTGTCAATATACAATACTAATAAATAGCATATTGACTAAAAAAATGAGAGTTAAAAGAAACATTGACAATTTGAAAACATAAAAATATACCTGGAGGAGCATAACCAATAGTCCCCTTTATTCCAATTGTACTTGTTTGCTTAGAAGTGGTTCCATTAATGGTTGAGAGAAGTCTTGCTATGCCAAAATCACTCACATGAGCAATCATGTCATCATCAAGAAGAACATTGCTTGGCTTCAAATCACAGTGAATGATCGGTTGCTCACATTCGTGATGAAGATAATGCAATGCAGAAGCAACATCAATCATGATATTTAATCTTTGATCAAGGCTCAATGTTCTTGGATGCTCTACACTTGGTGTCATGGGATGCAACCATTGCTCTAAGCTTCCATTTCTCATGTACTCAAAAATTAAAGCTTTAAATTCTTGACCTTTGTAATCTGTGCTCGAACAACATGTCAAAATTTGAACCAAATTTCGATGTTTAATATTTTTAAGTGCATTGCATTCAATAATGAAACTTTTGTGAGCTCCTTTTTTATGCAATTTTAAGACCTTTATGGCAACAACTTTGTCTTCTAACTCGATAGATCCTTTGTAGACAGAGCTAAAGTTTCCAGACCCTATCAAGTTTGTAGTTGAGAACCCATCAGTTCCATTGTGTAAGCTTTGGTACGAAACTTTAGCCAGCTGGTCAATTGTTGGTGATTCTAAAGATGGGTTCTTACTCCTTTTCTTCATTAAGAGAATAGTCAGAACAATTGACATTATAACAAGAAAAGAAACCACACCAATTATCACTATTATCAACCTGAACTTGTGGTATTTTTCATGTTTTTTACTGTTGACAGGGCATGGTGGTAGATACAATTCTGAAATTCCTCCACAAAGCTTATTATTTCCAGTCACTATAAACTCACTTGCATTTTGAAAGACACCTTCAGTTGGAACCTCACCATCCAACATGTTAAAAGATACATTGAAATATTGCAAGAAAGAATTATTCTGCAGAACATGAGTGGAGAAATAAAATAATTTGTTGAGAGTTTTTGTGGATATAGGCAAGAAGTGCCGAACCACGTTAATTTCTAAGTTTGTTTCTCTATTTTTGTTTCTCTTTTGTGTGTTGTCGTTGTAAAAATTGCAAGTGGAGAAATAAAATAATTTGTTGAGAGTTTTTGTGGATATAGGCAAGAAGTGCCGAACCACGTTAATTTCTAAGTTTGTTTCTCTATTTTTGTTTCT